CTTTCAGATTCGGGTTTTCCCAGATGTGCCAACATGGCTCTCTTCATAAATTGGAACTTTGAACAATACTTTGCTCAATACCTTACTCTGATTTAATTTTGGATGCTATTTGGAACCCTGACACAATAAAGATTAGGCTAGAAACAACACCAGAATGTTTCCTTCCTGCCTTCCTTACAGGATTAGCCCTGTAAAGTGGAAAAATGAAATGAGATTTCTTGCAACAATTGGTTCTCCAAACTGCTTAGAAAGTTAACAACCGGTTCTTGCGAATAAGTGCGAACTGGCTGAATCCCACCACTGCTATCGACCATTGTCTGTCTGTCTGTGTCTATCATATTTCCCTCCCTCCCCCCTCCCTCCCCCCTTCTCTCATGATCACTGGGGTTTAACATATTTCCAAACTGGGAAATAACTGGGCCTTAATTATCAGACTCCCTCAGGCAAAGCTAGGTTTTGGCAGTTTTTCAAAACTTAAATGGCTAAACTTACATTCTCCCAAGTATAGAAGAGACTGGTTTTAGCCGCACAAGCCTATCCCTTTTTCATTAATGAAAGAGCAGCTCTCAAAAGCACAGGGGAATGAATGGCAAACAATTGCTAAATCCATGCTGTCCCTATATACGTAGCTCTTTACAAGTTCAGATTTAGTTATCTGTCATAACTCTGGACTGCCCAGTTCTCAGGTGCTTTCTTGTTTAGTAGTGTGGCCAGCCAGAGTAGAGCCCAAGATCAGATCAAACCAGGTGTATGTGAATCCTGTGATTAATCCCTTAATTGCAATGTTAGATTCTGGTTCTATGAACGCTTCCTATTCTTCATTTTTGTTCCTGGGATTGGAAGATCTTCTAGCCAGAGGGGCTCATGGATCTATCAGTTAAAGGTTCTGTGAAGCTACTCTACTGTTTTCTAAAATGGGAAGGAAAAGTAGAATAAACAATGAGAAAACACAGAAAGGATGCAAATAGAAGATAATGCCTTATAGATCAAAACACCTGAAAGCAGGACAAGGAGCAATAGATGGAAACAAATCAGTGAGAGAACCAACCTAGAACTAAGGAGAAATTTCATGACAATGAGAATAATTACTTGGTGGAATGACGCCTCCAGAAGTTGTGGGTGCTCCAAAACTTGAGTTTTTTAGAGAAGAGATTCTCTAAATCAAGCAGGAAACCGGTATTTATTGAGCAGGGGTTTGGACTGGATAGAAGATCTCCAAGATCCCTTCTATTATTACTCTATTATTCTGTTACTTTCTCCTTGCTCTTGTAAGGAGAGATGATGGCTGTCTAAATAAAGCCTATTTTGGGTAAGTCCGCTTAACACAGTCTTCATTTTCCTGTTAGATACTAAAGACATTACAAATCTGTTTACAAATAAGATCAGGAGATAATGACTAAAACACAACTTGGTAGAGTGCATGTGACTTCGTATTGTTGACACCATAAAGCTGTAAAATACATTCCATTTCCTTATGGCTATTACACTGCTAAAATAGCCATTTTGGTGTGATAATAGAATGAAAATCAGGAAATGGTGAGTCTTAGCCCTGCCTTATAGACACCAAGCCAGCTGGATGACCTCGGGCCAGTTTCTCCCTCAGCTCTAGGAAGAAGCCAATGGCAAAATGTTTGCAAGGAAGCTGCAGGGACTGGTGCAGTCAATCTCCAGAAGTCAAAAATTGACCCAAAGGCAAGCACACCCACATACACTGCTAATAATTGCTCAAAAGGAGAATATTTTATTGAATCAGTTGTGCAACAATGCAACACTTGCTGGAATGACACAAGCAGCTGTTTTGAGCAGCCCATCATAATGGCAATCCCTTAACTAGAAACAGTCTAAGATTTTAATATTAGGAAATGGCTAGGTCAAATCTGCACTTGATTGGTTGGGCTTCTCCAGTTGAGAAGTGGGTACGTGCCTTTGCTGCTTCTTAGACTCCATGAAATATTTTCATGAAAAAAATCAATAATGTGGCATTCAATCTATAGAGACATTACTTTTTGTTCCCCTTTTTGGCAGGGGGCAGAGGTGGGAACCAGAAGACAAAAGAGTTTCAAGCACTGTACAATTTCACACTAATTGTATTTTTGAGCCCACTCCATTAAATTTATAAATTACTCCCACAGGAATTAATGAGGAATGGGATATTTCTCTGTACATTGTTACCACTCCGTTAGGCCACCCTACCTGTTTGGATTTAAAGAATAACTTGTAGTTTAGTTCTGTAATGTAACTAGTTTTGATTTGAAATGCTTTGATTATTATTTATCACAGAAGATTTATTTGATACCCTAAGCATAGACTATGGATGGCTCACGATCAGAAAAAAAATGGAAATCATAACTTTTCCTACTAGGCACAATCTCAGAAAAAAAAATCAACAAAGAATATCATAATGTATATGTTCACACCAGCAAGAATAAACTTTGCTCAACACTGGAAGAAAGACACAATCTCAATAATATCTAATTGGGAACTTAAACTTGGTGAATGCACAGCAATCGTAAAAATAACAGTACACTTACACAACAGAAGTGTAACTAAATTCAAGCAAGAAAGAATCCCATATAAAGTCTGGCTTTTAAAGGCGCCTGAATATCCACAAATATTGCAAATTAGTAAATGTATAAAAAGGGAAGAATCAGAAATCAATAGTTCCTGTCATTATTATTATCATGGTTTCACAGACAGCTAGATGTTTAGACTGAATTGGCATCCACCTACCAAGTCCTTCCAAAGGACCTGGGATAGGCAGCTGTTTGATGGTATTAGAGGCATCATTATAGGATGTTCCAATTATAGCTGCCTATTACAATTGACTGATGGTGAATTTGTCAATACCGATGGTGTTCAAGTGATGCTCCACATGTTTTGGGATTGCACACAAAGTGCCTTTTCATTTTAGTGCCATCTTTGCTTTCTTTTGCCACAGTCTTCTACTTCTATTGGGAGGGGTTGTCTTTGTATTTTGTTAATTTCTACAGTGCTTTCTCTGCCATTTTGCTGTCTCCTGACACAACAATGGTTCACTTGGCAGACTTTTTTGTCTTTCTGAACAACAGTTGTTAAGTCTGGGGTGGTGTATGGCAGATGTTTGTCCATTTAACAGAATAACAGAGTTGGAAGGGACCTTGGAGGTCTTCTAGTCCTACCCCCTGCCTAGGCAGGAGACCTACACCACTTCAGACAAATGGTTACCAAATATCTTCTTAAAAACTTCCAGTTTTCTTAAAAACTTCCAGAATTAATCTTTTTCCTGAAAGTTAAAGAAATTAACTTTTTGACTCTGAGGATGACTTATTCCATAGTAACTAGGCTAGTATCGAAAAGATCTGCTTCTGGACCTGAACTTCTAAATGGAAAGACACCTTCTTGGAGCTGAATCCACACAACAGGTAGACTCTATTCAGAGCACAAGGTTCCCTACAGTAGTGGGTTCCAGATCCCGTTGCAACTGGTACAGTACAACGGGGCCCAGAGTCCCCCACATGCACATGTGCAGCACACGCATGTGTCCTTACCTCTCTGACGCCTCCACGACGCTCCACCTGCTTCATGCGCGGAAGCACCGAAGAGCTCAAATACAGGTTAGGAGCTTGAGCGGGTGGGTGGGTCCTCCGGAGCACCATACCGGAACGTTACCTGGTGCTCCCGGCGACACCAATACACCCCTACCGGGGCATACTGCCTGCAACCCACCACTGGTTCCCTAGATAAAATGGTCCCTGGAACATTCAAGTGTAATCTGAAATAACTTGCCAAACTCTTAGAACAAGAGTTCTGCTGAAATATTTTATCAGCAAGTATGTTATTGCATTCTACAATAATTGCAGTTTTTGAATAGTCTCCAAGGGCATGTCCAAGGATCGTGAACTTCAGTAATTCAAGTACAAGGTGACCAGACCAGGAACTTAAAGCATCTTGCTCCCAAATCAGCTACATTTGTTTATTCTGTGTTACATTAATCTATGCACAAATCATGCAAAGATGTCTTAGCCAATATAAAATCAATCCACTCAGACGATCTGCAATGAAAGGGAACAACCATGGATTGAAGCCATGGCTCTTTCTATGTGCGTTGATATCATATACATATACAAAGGAGCAAGGCTTCAGTATGTGGTTGTGCCCCCCAGTTCAACAACCCCCTTGCAGAAGCATTAAATTACTAAATTACGCATGGAAAAAAAACCTAAGGAGGAATGGATAGACTATATGCCCATGATAGCGAACCTATGGCATGTATGCAGCATCCTCTCTGACGGTACGTGAGCTGTTGCCCCAGTTCAGCTCCACCGCAGATGCGCATACGCCTCCCACTGGCCAGCTGGTGTTCGGGTCTATGCCGCACATGCAGGGGGGCTGCGCAGGGGGGCAGGATGCATGCAAGGGGCACACGGACATGCACGGGAGCAGGGCACATGCACAGGGGCCACACACGGATTGCATTTTGGGGGTTCGGGGGTGTATGCTTTGGGCACTCAGTCCGGAAAAGATTAGCCATCACTGCTATATGCCATACTATAGCAACATAAACATCTATTTGTTTCTGTCCTTTGTAGTTTAAGTAATAACCTACAGAATTTAGGATCAAAATCTGATTATTATAATTATGATAACAGTTTGCCACAAGAATGTTTAATTTATAGAAAATGTCTTAAAATTCAGTTTTTAGTACTTTAGCTCCTCTTCAAAGTTACTTAACAGAGTAGAAGAAAATGGATAAAGTATTTTGGAAGTGGGCCCTAAGCTCAGCCTAACAGTTTGGAAAACAGAAAAGACAATTTAGAGCTGCCAGACTACATCTCCCTGAGAGCATCTGCCTACTCTACCATATCGGACAGAATAAGGATATTCCAGTCCCTTCCCTTAAATGTTATCATCTAGTGGGTCTTAGGAAATGTCCCTTTTCCATGACAGCCTTGCCCTGTAGGATATTCTACCCCCAAAGATCTGGCAACCCCCCCCCCCTCAAGACACACATAGTCCTTGCCTTCGAGATGTCCTTGAGTTGCTGCTCTTTCCCTAAGCATTGTATGTTTTGGGACTTTTAATTGTATATAATGTTGTGAGCCACCTTGAATTGTGTTTTTAACAGATGGCCATTCAAGTCAAATAAATAAATGTTTGCATACAAAGTGCCATTATACTTGGAAATTCGAAATACACATACACACACAGAGAGAAAATGTTCCCACTTCCACACATGATCCATCAATACACAATAATAAATGTATGCATGTACAGTTGTTGTCAGACGACACCCAATAGGCATGTACAGTGTTGTCAGACGACACCCAATAGGTTTATCAATTATCAATTTAACCTACCATTTCCAGGCAAATTCTGCTCTCTTCAGTACCTTTGACCAGTGACTTGTTGCTCTGTTTTCGGTCCTCAGACCTCTGGAACAAGGATAGTTTTTTTTAAAAAAAAAAAAACAGTATGCATGATCAAGCTAGACTCTTTCAAAAAAAGATCTTAGCACTGTGAAAAAGAGAACTAAATTCTTTGTTTCTTGTAAATTATATAGATTTATATTGCAGCATATACATAGACTCCAATGTCCATCTTATATGAAGAAGCAATTGAAAAAATAAATAAAATGAGCTTATGGAAATCCCATAGAGACTCTCCATACACCTTATGAAAAGTTATGTTTTCTCTTTTCCCTCACCTCTGGCTTATCTCCCAAATTGTTTTTATTTTCATAATTAGCAATGTATGCACTCTACTTTAGTACTGTTGTGACGATGATATATGTATACATCCACCACCCTTATCCACAGAATGTTAATTACCATACAAATAAATGTTCATAGCAACATCTTAATTCGTTAAAAGCGTGCACCCAGTTTAAAAAAGATTTGGATTTCTTCTTCAAAGAAAGAGGACAGAGGGAAACTGTAACAGGAATATGAGATACCATTAGCTATAGAATATTAAGCTCCCGGAAGTTTTAAATGCTCAATATACATTCATATACACAGAGAGAATACTTTGCTCAGTCCCATTAAATCCCAAGCTCTGTTTATTAACTAATAAGTTAATTAACCTAATATGATAAATGATGTGTGTAATTGTAACTACCAGTTTGACTCAGAAAAGGTGCTCGTTTAATCTTTCTCTGAAATTTTGCAGAAATATTAACTGAATATATTTTAACAAGTTCTGGAAAAGACGCATCATGTTTCTTTTTCCTCCAAATTGTGACAGATGGAACTACAATAATCAGCTCCTCCCTAGCTTTGTCTTTTCTGTCTATAAAGTATAAACCAATGTTCCCCAAAGGTACTTACCAGTTTGCTGTTAAGTGATATATTGGGTATTTTTCCTCTTCTTCCCTAAAGCCTGTTTTTTCAGGAGCAGTTGACAGATACAACTAGCTGCCAGGTTAAGATTAAAAGAGTGCCAAAGTCCTTCCAACGCAAGTAGAAAAAGAACAGGGAGAGTCTGCAATTCTAATAGTGAACTTTGAGACCTTTTATTATTGTAATTCTCCCATAAAACCTCCATGTCATACACTAAACACGGGAGGGCAGGGATGATGCTGAAGCAAAGGCATATAACCTTGCTTTGTTCTGTAGGAAGTTATCACCCAGCCCTCTCCTAGAAAAATGAAATATCCTAGGAAATATTGAAAAGGCAGAATATTTCTCTGGATGTGAAAAGAA